AGTGACCCTATGTCCAACAGCTCTGAAGCCTTCCCTGTCCTGTGCCGGTCTCACTGACTTTAATACACCTATCCCCATTGTGATAAATACTGGGCCAGTCCATCTCATCTGGGGTCTATCCCTCCACCCTTCCAAGTATGATGTCCTTCTCCAAGGATCGGTCCTTCCTGCCCACATGCTCAAAGTATGTGAGACAGAGCTTCAAAATCCTATCCTCCAAGAAGAAACATGCCTTCACCCTCTCCAAGACAGACCTATTTGTTTTCTTAGTGGTCCACTATATGCTCAAGACTCTTCTCCAGCACCACAACTCGAAGGCTTCAATTCCTCTTCTTCATCCTTAGTCATTACCCAGCTCTCCGATGCACAGCTAGTAATTACAAGGACCCTGGCCTGGAGGAGAGGCACCCTAGCCTATACACTGACATTGTTGCTTCTCAGGATCTGGAGAGGTCCCTGACAGCAGATTTAACTAATGCAATTCATCTTTTGATTTCCTGACTGCTGGTGCCAAGAGCGTTAATTGTGGAGCCGAGCAAGCTGTCACTGTTAACAACCTCAATCTCTTCTCCATTTATCATGGTGCTGCTAATCGGCCCCAAGGTTAGAGTCTTTGCCTACTTGATGTTAAGTTTCAAGCCATATATTATTAAAGAAACAGAGCGTGAACAAAAAAGAGAGAGAATCTGAAAGAAATGGATTGGAAGAGTGAAGACAATAGCCCTGATATAGCAGCAGTAGTGAAGACACTTGGAGCTAGGCAGTGTCCTGTGTGCTGTGCACAGCCAGGGTCACTCTAAGTTGGAACGGACTGAACAGCACTGACCAAAACCAACATCTATTGCTTTAACTGTCCCCTATCCTTTATTATCCATGCATCTAAGGCACAAGCCTTTGAATTTTGCCTCTTTCTCATGTCAAAGAGTCCCGAAGGACCAAAGGAATGTTATTACCATTAAGAAGCTGAATGCAGGCCCGTTCTACAACAGTGACACTATGCAGTATTTATCTTTTTGTGACTGAGATATTTCACTCAGCATAATGTCCTCCAGGGTCACCCATTTTGAATAATATTGCATGAGTTCCTTCTTTTTCAATGCAGTGTAGTATTCCATTGTGTGAATATACCACAGCTTCTCTGACATCAGGGTTGGGGTAAGACTGAGGAAAAACTGGATAGATTATGCATTGAAACAGATGAGGGAGAGAACAGTTTAAAAGCGATATATGATAGGGTATTATGATTATCACAGGAATCCAGAATTAAGGTTGCATAGTGGACGCAGTGCATTCGGGACAGATTGTATACCAATGAAGAAGTTTATCTTTTGCTTTTTGAAGAGAGGAGCGAACTAGTGGGGGGTATGGGGGTAGAGGAAGAAGTGCAACAAGGAACAAATGGAAATCCAAAATCTCTGTAAATGTTCATTAAAATTAATAAAACAAAAATTTAAAAAATATATACAAAAGAAAAGAAAAAGAAGCTGAATGCAGAGTTTAGACACAGGTAGGGAGGCAGTGAACGAGCGCCATCACAGAACAGAAATTGTTTGACGATACTGCACTGGGCCTGTCCATCCAGCCCAGCACTCGTTGCGCATTGATGGGTCATTCACCGAGATTTCACTGGCACAGAGGGGAAAAGAATAAACTCAACAGGGCACTTTGAATTGCCTGAGAGTGAGCCTTTATCTCAATTCACTTCTGTCTTAAAGGCACTTAGCTCACGAAGATATGTAATGACATTAGGGTAAAAAATGAAAATAGGGTAAAAATTCCCCAAGTTCTCACACAGAATGATATCTTTTGAAGATTCTGCATTACTGCTGCATGGAAACTACTTTCCCCTCCTCATTTGTGAAGATATTTATTATGCATTCTCTGAAACAAGGAAGAAAAATATTTAATCCATTGTTGTCTGCTGTAATCTTTCCTTATCAATTTGCTTTTATGACTGAGTGCTAAGATGTATAGAAATGACAACAGTCAAACCCAACACTGTAAAGTGGATTTCAATTCTCAGAGACCCTATAGGACAGAATAGAAACTCTCACAAGGTTTCCTGGGTTTTCTAGACTGCCATATCTACCCACACCGGAGCAGCTGATGAGTTTGAACCACCAACTTATGGGCTAGTGGGACAATGTTTAACCCATTGCACCATCAAGGATCCTCATTACCATGGCAAGAACGCAGTATTAGCTTTATACCTAGGCCTCTGTTCAGAAACATCTTGTATCTAAATGTTTCACGGAAACATGGTTTGAAAGGGAAACATCAATGATCATAGTATCGTTTTATTTAAATTTTTTTCTGATCTCCAATTACTTCTTTTTAAATTTTTCTCTAATTTTATACTTTTGTTGATGGCAATTACTTCTTTTTTATTTTTTTCTAATTTTATGCTGGTTTATTTACAAAGTTTGTATACCTTGTTTTACATACCAGATCTTTCCCACTTCCTTCACCTCCTGCTCACCCATCAGATTGTGCGACCCTATGATTCCCCGCCCTCTGCTTCCATCCTCCCTGCCCCCTTGGCTCTTCATACTCATACAATAAAGGTCTTGTCCTTGTGGGGCTGAGTTCACTCAGCGTAATGCTCTCCAGTCCCTCCCAAGTTGGGTAGTAATTTATAAAATCATTGCTCCTCCATGCTGCGTAGTATTCCATCATGTGAATGTACCATAATTTCTCAATCCAGTCGATTGTGGTTGGTTATTTGGGTTGTTTCTATGTTCTTGTGATGGTGAACAACGCTGCTATGAACACTGGTGTGCAAGTCTCCATTTCTGCCTGGGTTCTCATTCTCTCGAGGTATATTCCAACAAGTGGAATAGCTGGGTCATATGGAATTTCTATGTTTATTTTTTTGGAGGAAACACCAAACTGCCTTCCAGAGTGGTTGTATCATTTTACAATCCCACCAACGGTGTATAAGAGTTCCTTTCTCACCTTTCTCATTTTTCAAATCTTTCAATTGATCATTCTCTTTCCCCGCTTTGTGTATTCTAATCATTCATTCCCTCACTCAGCAGATATTTATTTAGATTAGAGGGTCAAACAAAGGAAAGGAAGACTCCCAATGAGGTGGATCGACACTGTGACTTCAGCAGTGGGCTCTAGGGTCTCAGAGACGAGAAGGATAGCACAGGACAGGACAGGGTTCAGAACAGGCTGTTCATAGGGTCGCTATGAGTTGTACTTAACTTGATGGCACCTAACAACAACATAGCAAGAAGTGGGTGTTCTTGGAGCTGCCTGGCAAAGACATGCAGCTAACACAGAGAAGAAACCCAGCAACCTGAGTGTGTTTCTAGGAACCAAGCTCACTGCCATCAAGTCCATTCTGACTGTACCTAACATTCCAATGAGTTTCTGAGGGTATAAATCTCTACAGAAGGAAACATCCCATCTATCACCCTTGTAGATTCAAACCTCTGACCTTTTGCCTACTCGCCCTGTAGACTATGCATTATACTGTCAGGATCCTCCAGAATGCTTCGGGTTTTGTTGTAAGGTGGCATCCAGTTGACGGTAAGTCAGTGACCATACGAACAACACATCCGAACCTTACCCTGTCATACGCCGTCCTTACACCCACCACGCTCAAGCCCACTGTTCCACTGCTAACCTAGCTTACGGAGGGTCTTCTTTGCTTTCTGACCTTCTCCACTTCCCAGCATGCCCCCCAACCCCAAGGACTATCCTCTCCTAACAACATGCTCAAAGTATGTGAGACTAAGCTTCTCCATCTTGGCCTCAAAGAAACCTTTATTACCCTTCCTCCAAGACAGACTCGTTCGTTCTTTTGTCAGTCAGGAGAGATGTGAGACTCTTTGCCAACACCACAGTCCGAAGGCATTGGTTATTCTTCTGTCATCCTTACTCACCGTCCAACTTTCAGATGCATAGGCAAGCAATCGGAAATACCACAGGCCAGTGCACCTTATTCTTTAAACTAACATTGTTACTCTTAAGCACTCTGAAGAGGTTCTTGGCAGTAGATCTTGCCAATCCTTTAGAATTTATTTAGAGTTCTTTAGAAATCTAAAGTTTTCGTAATCCTTTAAAAATGCAGAGTCACCGTGGTACCCAACTGCCCTTCACTCTCCCAGCCTCCTGATCAGAGCTGTGAATCCACCATTGGGCCTGGCTTGTGGCTGTGAGGCAGCTCGTGAAATAGACGAAGTCAGTGCTAGCTCAGTAGATGTTTATATAGCGTATAGATGAAGAAAGAGACATCAAATGACCTGAATGTCCTTGATTTTTATAAATATTTTTGGTGAATGGATATTAATGACATACTCTGACGGGAAATCGAGACCCACAGGTCAAACAAAGCTCTGAGCCTGAAGTTTCTGTGCGTTACTAGCCTCACAGCCGCGGCCACTCACACAGAGCCACACGGCTGCTGTTCTGTGGCTCCGCCTCTCTGTTCTACTCTGAACCCAGAACGACTGTGACCTTAAGCCAGAATTTGTGGAGAAAAAGAAAATAGGAAATAAAGGAAAAGGTTTCATTTGAAAATCAAGAAGAAATAGTAAATCAACTATACGCTTCAATACAGATGACAGAGTGGGTTTTCAGGCAACCTGTTAAGATCACTAACAACTGCTTGATCATCAGCACAATGTGCGACAGTCAGCCTGTGGTGACAGTTCTGCTCCACACCAGGCACTCAACTATGTGCACTTTAACCGGCCACACGGGCCAGCAGAGTTACAATCAAGTAAAAACAAGATTTGTGAGCAAGCGTCTCCACTTTCATTCTTAAAAACTGGCATTTACTTGGATGAGGCAAAACAATATTTTAAGAATGCAGAAAATCTGAGTGAAAATGCCAAAATTTGAAATAGCTCTTGGTGGTCAAGTCACAAGAATGACTTTCTGATGAATCATTGCAACAGAAGAGACGGGAACCCGTGTTTAATTTCCCGCAGGCCGAGCATCCTCTGAGGCGGGTCACGCCCCACCAGGCACCTGGGGACCCCGCTTACCTGAATTCTTGTTCGTTTTGTTCTGTCGGCTTTTCACTTGCTCAGTCCAAAGTGTGGGATATCGTGATGCAATATCTAATAAACCAAAATAAAATCGTAGTTTTAAATTCCTCATAAAACACAAAGTATCTCAAAGATTTTTAGCAGGAGATCTCAGCATCATAAAAATCAATTTAATAAATGATTTTTTCTTTTCAATAAAGTGATTATATTTATGATATTAAAAGTAACACTAATGTACATTTTAAAATCTTATTTAGCATGTTTTTATTTTTATTTTTTCATTTTTAAAACTTACGGTGTTTTTTTTCTATTCTACTCAAAATTTGAATTAACAGTTATTTGAAAACAGACATAGCCCACCTAAAAAAAATGTTTGATGCAAAGAAAAAGCCCCAAACAGACAAAAAGGTATTATATGTAATAAAGGTAATTATGCATCTAAGTCGGAAGTCTTTACACAAGCTCAGTATAAAATACAGCATTGCCTAAATTTTGGAGGGCACACATCACCTTTGATAATAATATCTAAGAGTAAATGTTAATTTTTAAAGTAGGGTCACTATTTTGTACCTAACAGTAAAGAAAGGGAGCTCCATTGGCCTAGTGGTAAGAAGCTGTGCTGCAATCCCAGAGGCACGCGGTTCTAATCCACCATCTACTCCTCTCATTAGATGAATTGCCTCTGACCACCTGCTGGAAAGTCACCTATGAATCAATTCCAACTGAACAGCACACAGCAACAACAAGAGTAAATAAAATGGGAATGAGGTTAAAAATAATCGTAAGAAGTAACTGTGATAAAGATAGCTGGGACTCAGACCCCCAGGTGGATCTGAGGACAAGTGTGCTGGGTGGGGTCTTCTACAGTTGCTGTTTTTTATTTCATTTTACAGGAATTGCTAAGACAAATTATTCCTAAGGAAGGAAGAAAATTTATCCTGATATGACAACTTACAAAGACGTGAACTACAGTAACAGGAAAGCAGCACATTCCCCTGGACCTGCGAAACATGTTTAGAGCGCCCAAGTAGAAAAAATTCAAATCAAAACTAACACTTAAAGACAGCTTATATTATGTAATTTATGTTTTATTAAGCAAGTAAAATGGCTTTAACTTCCTTGTGTGTACCACTCGCACAATACGGGACGCCCTTGCCTCCCTGGCCATTGAGGGAGAGGAGAGAGCTGCTGCTTAAAGATGAGGCACAGAAGATCCCTGTTGGAAGATTCTGCTGACAGAGTCCTCCCTCTCTCCTTTTCCCCACCATCACGCCCACCTTCCTCAGCCTCCAAGAAGCCGGCCTCCCCTCACGCTCACCTTCTTCATCTCCTTGGGGCTGTGTCTCCAGCACCGGAGCGGCCGCATCATCTGAATTCAGAATGGAAAAGATTTGCAAGGAGACTACAATTATGAGAGTAAGTTAAATAAGTGTGTGCACATGATCGATGCCCACGACCCCCACGCAGCCCCCTCCCCCAGATTCATCACAAGTGCGGACTAAAGAGTGGACCCTGAGGCAGAGCCAGAACCGGAGCCACGACTGGTGCCGGAGTGAGCTACCACTTCAACACGCTGCAGCCCAGCGTGGGACAGATCCACCCCATCGGGACAAAATCACCACCAGTCACATCCTTGTAAGATGGATTTTAACAAAAGAGACGAGAAACCAGTAAACAAGAGAAGGGTGACTGGGAATAGCGGAGTCAGAAAGTCAATGAATTTAGCTCTCCAGATGTTAGATGAAGAGAGAGACTAGCCAGGAGGACCAAGTCCAGATGTACTTCACCCCCCACCAAAGGACTAAAAAATCATGGCATCCATCCATCCATCCATCCATCCATCCATCCATCCATCACCCATCCATCCATCCATCCATCCACCCATCAATCCTTCATCCATCAACCCATCTACCCACCCATCCATTCATCCATCCATCCCTCCACCCACACACACACCCACATATCCATCCGTCCACCCATCCATCTGTCTACCCATCCACCCACCCATCCATCCACCCATTCATCTATCCATCACCCATCCATTCATCCATCCATCCATCCACCCCCACACACACCCACATATCCAACCGTCCACCCATCCATCCATCACCCATCCATTCATCCATCTATCCATCCATCCATCCACCCATCAATCCTTCATCCATCAACCCATCTACCCACCCATCCATTCATCCATCCATCCATCCATCCACACACACACCCACATATCCATCCGTCCACCCATCCATCTGTCTACCCATCCACCCACCCATCCATCCACCCATTCATCCATCCATCACCCATCCATTCATCCATCCATCTATCTTCAGACACCTATAAGGGCCTTCTGCCCACATACTCAATAGAGAGGGACACAGGAAATTGTGGAGCAGAGGGGCAAGAATAAAAGTGATAGGAGAATGGGGGTCAGGATTAGAGGACCCACCACCATGTCACTGAGACATATGTCAACTAAGCGTCTTTTTACACCTAATTGCAAAGCACATCTTGGATTTCCTAGTTAGGTGTTTTATTACGTGTCATTGAGTCAACTGTATCTTAGAGTGACCGTATACACAGCATATTGAAATCTTGCCTAGTCAAGTACATGTTTTACCAAGATCTTGAGGAGGAAACTCACAGAACTTGACTGGCCTTGGAGAAGTGTATCCAATCCAAAGAATGTCCAGTTAGGCACACATTTTGCGTAAACTATTTCAATTTCTGGTTTTTTATTTTGCTCTCACTTGCTTATGTGATTTTATTATATAGAAATTTTAGGATTAAATGTACAAGAAACCGTAGAGAGAGCAAAGGCTAGGTGATTGGCTCATTAACTCATGACTTCCGGGCCATCAGAAGAAAAACACAATTTCTCTCAATTTTTTTTTCAGAGAAAACCAAAAAGGATTTTAAAAAATCTCTATTGTTATGCAATCCCTTAGAAAAATTATTTACTATGCATCCAAATAACAACAAAACATTACAACATGTATTTGAAATCCCCAAGTATACTATTGATAGCAATAAACTTGGAATGTTTTGCTATTGAATATTTGTCTTCTTACAAGATGTCAAGCCCATCCATGGAACCAAAATGATATGGACAGATTTACAAGCCTTTTGGAATGACAACTGAACACATGTTTTGGAATGACAACAAGTGATCGCATGATTCATTTCATGTGTTTGTGTTGAAAGCCAGCATCCCGACTCTGAAATCACGGGGCTCGTGTGTCTGTGGTCACTCAGCAGGGCCTCTGGTGAGGGGGACACGGCAAAGTTGAGAATACAGGAGTCTGAAAAACCTCCACCTGCCTCTCCTGACTCCTCCCTAACCCCGGCCCACGTGTGTTCTACCTGCCACACTGTAGCACTCAGTCACTTAAGTGATTTTACCCCATATGAAAAACCACTGCACCTCCTGCAAGCACCCTCTAGGGTCAAGCTGGAGGTCACGAGCACTGTGCTTCAGCCCCAGTAGAGCTGGCTGGACCTCCTTGCAGGACAAGGCAGTCAGGTTGGCTGCTTTCAGGCTGCTGGGACTGCCTTTCCTGGGAACACACAGAGCCTGCCTCTCATCTCACAGCAGCTCCCCAGAAGTTTTTCACAAGATTCAGCACGTTCGACATGAATGGGATTGAAGAATAACTCCTCCCTGAGAGTTTCCAAGGAGGCTCTGATGGCACACTGACTTAAGTGCCCAGCATACTTCAAGCCCACTCACCTCTCAGGAGAATGGTGAGCGGCCTACCTCCATAAGGGTCTGTCGTGGTTCTTGTTGGCGGCCGTCAAAGTGGAACTGACTCCTAGCTGACCCTCGGTGGGTTTTCAGAGGCAGTTAATCACATGGAAGAGACTGCCCATCTTTCTCCTGTGTGGCAGCTGGTAAATCTGAACTGTGTGCTTCTGGGTTGGCAGCAACTCTTTAGCACTAGACCACAAGTACTTCCTCCCTTAAAGACCACGGCCGTAGGAACGCAGCAGGGAAGTCGTGCTCTGTCCAACAGTGTCGCTGGGAGTCAGAACGGAGTCACGGTGGTGGGTGTTCTAGTTGTAAGAGTTGGGCCTCCTCGTCTTCTCCCTTTCTTCATTTCATTAGAAGTTTGCATCTTGAACGTTGTTGTTTCTCTGCTCTCACTGTTGGGAGGCGCAGACATCGCATACTCTAGCATTTAGGCCATTTGCGTGCTTTCCAGATTTGAAGCCATTTCTCCTCTTTCTAAGGGCAGGTCTTCTCTCTTTCCAGGATGCCTGGGACACCCCCATGACACCTGGCCCGACCTTTCCCATCCAGCACGCACTCCTCTTCCTGAATTCACCGCCTCAACACCATGTTTTCCATTCCCCTGCAAAGCGCCCTCCCAATTGGTCACCGTTTGTGCTTGTTCCAGTGTGTGTGCAGATTGATAACCAGCATGTTACAATTCAAAACGTTCCTAACACACACACGTGTTTGTTTAATAGGTTAAATAAACTGTGTCCTCACAAAATGTGTGCCTTGATCTATCTCCTACACTTTAGACACGTTCTGCTATTCACAGAGTCCTCGGGATTACAGACTCACCAACAACCTGCGACAACCTAACCCTACTTGTAGAAAACAAGAGTTGATGCACTAATTGCTGATGCCTTCAATACAGAGCTCAACATATAGAGAATAAAAATTCACAGCTGGACCAGCCCAACACTGTGAGAAAATAGAGGCCCCGGTGAAAACGGCCAAGTGGCCAAGCACATCACTGAGCCTGGGTCCATATTCAACACGCATGGAAGCAGCAATAAAGAAATAAAACGATACTGCGTTCGGTGAGCCTGCTGCCAAGGGGTTCTTTAAAGTGCGAAAGAGCAAGGACGTCAATTTAATAATAACTGAGGTGCCCTGGACCGTGCCGTGGAATTTGTTATCGATTCATAAGCATGTGAAATCTGGACAATGATTAAGGAAAACAGAAGAAGAATTGAGGCCTTTAAATTGTGGTATATGTGAATAATATTCACCATGGACCATCAGAAGAATAAACAAATCTATCATGAGAGAAGTGTGGCCAGAGTCCTCCTTAGAAGCAAGAACCGGGACATATTACTAAATGGGGCAAATCCTTAGAAAAGGACAGCATGTTTGGAAAAGCAGAGAACTATTCAAGGCAAGGAAGGCCCTCATGAGATGGATGGGACTGTCACTCCGGGCTGAGATGCACTGGAGACTGCGAGGCTGCCAGGGAATGGATTAGGTTTTGTTCTGTTTCACATGGTGTTTCTATGGATCAGAGTCAACTCCATACCACAACAACAACTGCAGCTAATGGCCCTGCAACAGCCAAGTCAGAAGCTCCCGACCTGGACATGTGGGCTTTCCAGTGCATTCTGAGCCCAGCATCCAGCACAGTAACTACAGAAGACCTTGAATGAATGTTCACCGAGCAAACTCTATTAACAAACTATCTCAGCTCTTGTACTGTTATGGCTGGAGTTAAATGGCATCAGCTCGTAGCAACCCTATGTTCTAGAGAAGAGCATTCCTTCAGAGTTTTCTAGACAATCTATTCCTCACGTACTCCCTAGAGAAAGACAGCGCACTTGGAAAAGCAGTGAGTGGGTCCATGAAAAAGAGAAGACCTTCAGTGGGATGCATTGACAACCACTGGAACACGGGGCTGGGCACAGAGGAGGAGGTGTGGATGGCCCTGGAGGGGGCTGGGCACAGAGGAGGA